TGTGTGAGTGAGTGTGAGTGTGTGTGTGTGTGTGTGTGTGTGTGCTTGTGTGTGTGTGTGTGAGTGAGTGTGTGAGTGAGTGTGAGTGTGTGTGTGTGTGTGTGTGTGTGTGCTTGTGTGTGTGTGTGTGAGTGAGTGTGTGAATGAATGCTTGTAGTAAGATAACTTGAGGACGTTTCTGGTTTTAATGCTGTGGGGACCACAGCGCCTCCTACAGGCCGCTCCTTCAGACACGGAGCCGCTGACGGAGCGTGATGAGAAGCGTAAACCTCACACAAAGATTATTCTTCATTCACTAAGATACATGCGCTCAGATCCGCCTCGCCGCTCTGAGGGACTCTTCTGTACCTGAAGTTCAGGATTGTGCAGCCTGAGGAGACGGACCATTACTGCCAATAAACCTGCTCTGCTGGAACCTTCCAGAGGAACCGGTCTGAGTGAGAGCTGGCGCCGTGGCAGTTCAACTGTGAAGCGTTTCTGATAAACGGCGCTCAGCCTGGCGGGGGGCTGTGGGGCCTGGCAGCCCGCCAGGCTTACTTTACACTGGAGGAAACTCTGACGTTTCCAGACAGTTTGAGTTTGAGATGGAGCTGCTGCAGGAAACGTCTCTGGTTTCATCGCCTCAGGATCCAAAACTCTCCGTAGTGGGAAACATTAGCCGGTGGGAACCCTGAACCCGACCCGGTTCTGCACCAACTCCTGTCAGTTTGGTTCGTGTTCAGACATGAAGACGTTTCTTTGTCTTTTCAGGAGGCTTGAAGTTGAAATTAATCAGGTTTAATGTTGGAGGAGGACGTCAGTCAAACCAACTGGATTCAGATACGGAAGAAATCTGCTCATGTTTCTGCTTCTAAGGATGAAAGTAAAAACTCCAGATTTTGTCCTGAACTGCATGTTTTTGTCTAGATGGGTGAGTTTTAAGAGCAGCTCTGATGGGTCGAACCCGATCCTTCCTGCCGCACTGCACCAGCGGGGTCAGAGGTCACAGCGATCTGAACCGCAGCAGAACGTCGACCACACAGGAAGTCATCAGACAACACAGATCAGGACGTTTCCTGTTCTTAGGACCAGCAGTGATGAAGAGGAAGATTTCAGCTTCATCATGTCTGCATGAGCAGCAGTTTATCTCTGAGCAGACGACCTGCTGACCTTTGACCCTGTTTTTACAGACTGATCAGGTGGATCCCGGAACGTTTCATTTAAAGATCCTTGCAGTTAGTTTCAGGCCCATTTTCCTTCCCACAATGCACTGGGGTCAGCTCTCAGGCTGCGTCCGCCCACAGCAATCTCCATTCAGTCCAGTAAAATTTATTTACACCCAGAGACACCCGGATGTAAATAATTTACACCCGGGGCCCTATGAAGAGGCCTGGGGCTCTATGAAGGGGCCTGGGGCTCTATGAAGGGGCCTGGGGCTCTATGAAGGGGCCTGGGGCTCTATGAAGGGGCCTGGGGCTCTATGAAGGGGCCTGGGGCCCTATGAAGAGGCCTGGGGCCCTCCAAAGGGGCTGGTGCCCTATGAAGGGGCCTGGGGCCCTATGAAGGGGCCTGGGGCTCTATGAAGGGGCATGGGGCCCTATGAAGGGGCCTGGGGCCCTATGAAGAGGCCTGGGGCCCTCCAAAGGGCCTGGTGCCCTATGAAGGGGCCTGGGGCCCTATGAAGGGGCCTGGGGCCCTATGAAGGGACCTGGGGCTCTATGAAGGGGCATGGGGCCCTCCAAAGGGCCTGTGGCCCTATGAAGGGGCCTGGGGCCCTCCAAAGGGCCTGTGGCCCTCCAAAGGGCCCGGGGCCCTATGTAGGGGCCCTGCCGTGTCCGACTCCCTCCCCGTACCCAGCGGTTACCTGCCATGGAGGACACGTTGATGATGGTGCCTCCTTCCTTGCCGTACTCTTTGCTCATGTGCTCCAGGGCCAAGTAGGTTCCCTTTATCACTGAGGTCTGCAGATAAAGCAGAGAAGAAGAAGAAGCAGTTAAAGTCGGCGCAACTCGACGTGACGCTGGGACAGGAAGTCATGAAAGGCGACACTTCTGATAAGAGGCGATACCAGAGGCTGCGGTTTCCTCAGGAAGCCTCAGCAACGACTAAAACAACATCGAGCTGCTGATACGATCTGCAACCAGAACACCAGCTGGAAATTTATAGAAAACACTTCAACTGAAACAAGTCAGACATTCTGCCTGCTCAGATGACCTCTGACCTGTGGGTCAGCATGTTCTGGAATCAGGATCCAAAACCACCAAAGTTCAGAGAAAAACCTGAGCACACGTTGATCTGAAGAGGAAAAGAGCCGACATGGAGCCAGCAGAAATAAAAACCAGATCAGAGGTCAGAGGTCAGGTTTTCCAGAACATTCTGACGATCCTCCAGACGTCTGGGAAACGTTCTGGAAAAGCTGAAGGTTTGGAAAGAGCGCGACCCGTTACATCGGCCTGGGAGAAACGACAGCAGAACATGGCGGTGGCAGCATGATGGCTGGGGATGTTTGGCTTCCTGGAGTCATTCTGCTGAAGGAGAACGTCCGACCTCCAGAACCGGAACCAGAACCAGGACCAGGAAATGACCCAAAACAGAACCCACCTCTGAAAAATAGCATGGAGGTTTTGCAGTGGCCTAGTCAAAGTCAATGCTGTGGCATGACCTTAAGAAGGCCAACAGAGCTGGAACCAGGACCAGAACCGGGACCAGTGGAACCAGAAGCCCTCAGAATGAGCTCTGAGGTTTCTAGTGAAATCCTGACAGATGAGGTTCTGATCGACTCGGTGCAGTAAGAGGAAGCGCTTTATTGAAACAGGAAGTGATGAAACGGATCATTTCTGAATGTGGTCTATTTGTTTCTTCACTGAAGCCCAAAACCAGAAGGAGTTTCTCTACAGAGAACCGCAGAGCGGGCCGAGTCCAGGTTCTGGTCCTGATGCCTTTGGCTGTGACAAAAATCCCATTTTATGCAGATGATGTGATATTTCTAAACGTTGGTTCTGGTTTTCCTTTAAACTGATTCTGCTCTGGTCTCATATGTGTTCAGGGTCGGTTCGGTCCGACAGTAAAATGGTTCTGGTGTTGGTAGTTTGTGACTCGGGTCGCCTGCCGGTTCTTACCAGGTTGACCTGGATGGTTTTCTCCCAGTTCTTCTCGTTGTTGATGCCGGCGTTGTTGATGACGATGTCCAGGCGTCCAAACTGGTCCACCGTCCTCTGGAAGGCGTCTGTCCAGGGAGACAGAGACGGTGATGAGGACGTCACTCAGGACACCCCTGGTGGCAGGAGGGGG